CCATCATCCCTCTTCTGCCAAGGAAACGAAATCATCCATCCGGCAAACAAAACCCATTTCGTTTCTCATGGCAATTTCCTTCTGCGTTTGTGCTATTCCTCACTAGACCAACTCAAGTATTCCTTCAGGTTACTTCCGCCAGAATTTAAACAATCAATCCTACTTCATTTTCTACAATATTTCATTAATCTTAATCTTATTTTGATTGAAATTTTCAGTTAAACAATGCAAATTCGGTAGTCAATCTGTGGTGCAAATTCGGTAGTCAATCTGTGGTAACCCATCTGTCCCTGCATCTTTCCATGTTTTTTAGCTGAATTCTTATTTGGTTTTGAATTTTTGACAAAATTAATCAGCTTTTCTTTATGCTTTTCTTTATGTGGGTAGAGAGCATTGCCAATTCGGATCATAACGGTGGGGAAGAAGAGGTCCCCAGGTATCCAGTTGCTGGTAGATGGGTATGCTGATAAGCTCAGAAACTACTGTACTGTTGATGATGTTCTAATTCACTCTTAACCCCAAAAATTCACGGTGCTTTCATTCCCCTTTTCTGTAATTTTATGCCATTAGTCTATTTTTATAGTTTCTAACTTAATTTAGACGAGTTTATGCTGGTTTTGTTTATGTAGAGATGTGAAGGCCCAGGCTGATGATGAAGATATGGCTGTCATGAACCATATCAGGTCTGATGATTGGGTACTCGTCTGGAAAACCCTCCGTGGTTTTACTTTTACCTTGCTTTTTATTAGTATCATTATTGATTTGGTTTATGGAGGTTTAGAGATACAGTTCTTGTTGGGATTTATCCTTATTTTAGGGTCTTGTGTTTATAGGTTGTGATGTTGGATGAGCATGGATTGGATATAGGGTCTGAGCGGTTTGCTGAATTAGTAGGAGATGCAGGGAGTAACGTAGGGAACTAAAACTCACTAACAGGTTGCTGATATTGATGTATTCATTTATCTATGGAATTTTATTTTATTTTATTTTATTTTTTTGATAAGGGTAATAGTTAGGAAGTTAGTGTGAGTTAATTGTTAGCAACTGGTCCTTAGAGTGAATATTTCACCCCTTCAAATGAGGCGCGCGACCATTAAGTCACTTTTTAGTAGAGTTCACAACGGTGGTGGAGTTCGAAACTCTGACTACCTCACCCAAGTACTTAAGGCTTGAGGTCGAACCATTGGACCAAAAGGCCCGATTCATTTATCTATGGAATTGGATTTGTTCTTGGTATCAATATTTCTCTGTTCTGTGGCAAGAATTATGTATAGCAATGAACTTGCTGCTCTGTTTCAAATGGTTGCTGCCTTGTTGGGCCCTAAAAATATTCCGAGTTTCCATATTGTAATTGTGGATGCATGTTTTATGTATTATCTTAACGGAAAACTGGTTTGCAGCTGCTATTGCAAATTTTTGGGCGGACGGGATGATTAAAATGGTGTCGTTTAGTGTTCAGTAAACCCAGCTTTTGTCTCTCCTTGACTTTCCTTTGTTTCAGAAATTCAAAAGTCTTGCATACGAATACCCCCTCTAAATTCTTTATCTTTGCATCAATAACCTCATCCTCTTTTCTTCTTCGATTTCCCTCTGTTTTTCTTTATTCTGAAACCTTCTATTCTATCTTTGATTTCCCGAACTCGATTCTACTCTTCAATTTCCCCTTTATAAGATCTCTACCAGGAACCATTGAAAACTTTAGAGAGTAAAGAAAGAACAACTGGAAACATAGAAAGAAAACATAAATTAGGGTGAAAGATGAGCCAAATTAACAGGAAAATATTATAGCTCTTTTTGTTACATATGCTCCACGATGCTTCTTATTTTGGTCTAAAACTTTGCTTTTTCTTTTTTTTTCTTTTTTTTTTTCGAATAATAACAATCGATTGGGAGCATTTGGGATAAGGCAGCCTTTTATAGAGAAATCACAGCTATCCAAGATGAAGAGAGAACAAAATGAAGGGAAATTGATCAAAAAGAACCAAAGTAGCAATCAAACCACTGAGAAATCACGGTGATGGAAGGAAGAACAAGATGAAGGAAAATCTAACAAACTTCAGAGACAATGAGCGAAAAGCACCTAGCAATGGAAGGGGAAAATCAAAGATGAAGAAAAAAAAAAGCTCATGAAGAATAGATCGACATCAATTGGGGTTAGGGATTATCTCGACGAAGGGGATGGAGTAAGAAATGGAGGAAAATAAAGAACAGAAGCTTGAACACTGAAACTGCATCGTTTTTAGTAATCTTGTCCGTCTAAAAGTTAACAAGACCGGCTGCAAACCAGTTTTCTGTTGTCTTAATATAGCAAAGATAAAACTCATCGCCAAATATGAACAATTCAATGTCCAATATTTCATCTATGATTTGGTGGAGAAAATAAGATTAC